AACGACCGTTTCGAATTCTTGAGCAACGAGCACCAAGGTTAGCAACCAAACCGGAAAAACTCCGAACGAATGGCTACGCAAATGTGCTGTACTATAAAAAATGAAAGTAGTTACACGGAATACAAAATCACAAACCTCAACGGTTTTCGACAAGCGGTAAGGTACTCCAAAAGGCAAGCAAAGCCGATATGGATGAACAGTCAACGCGTGAACGAAACCGCGTCTCAAACTCATGAATTAAAACAATATATAGCTGCCCAAGGATTTGGTACAAAAATAGTATAACCAGAGCGGTAAAAACGATTTGCGTGGTAAGGAAAACTGAGAATATAGATATCTTGTAAAACTGAAATAGGGTTCAGTTCCACCAGTCCAAAAAAGGGCGGTCCGTTTGAATTGTTAACCGGGAAGGCAGTCATTCAAGATTGGAGGCAATTTTAACTATATATGAAGTTGCAACACTACATCTAACTGGTTGATTGGGCATCATGGACTTCTGGTCATATTTCGGTCTGATGTATCAGTTAGGTTTGTTTAGCTAGCTACAATGAATTACGTGGATGACATCTAGCTAGTTGATTGGACACTCCTTAGGCGAAGTTAGCCGTATACGTTAACCAAACTCTCATTTTTGTATTAGTTGACCAGTTACTTCATCTAGGTTGAAACTCGGTGGTGGGCGTTATGATGAATACCTCACCATGTACATCTTTATACGCAAAACATCCGGCAAAACCCCGGAGCCGAGTAGGAGAAACTTGGTAAATTTTGCCGTCGGCAATATCTTAAGACATAGGTCACCACCATCTTCAGGCCCAACGTCAACTCAACCTAGCGCGAGTTTTCCCAATTTAATGAACGTGTCTAGTTCAATTAATTCGCGAAATTTCCATTCCCAATTTTCGAAAGCACCCAGTAGAGAACAAAATATAATGCAAAAGTGTGTTTACAGGGGTGACGCTATCACATATTTTGCGTCCGCAAATGCAATGTAAACTCTAGTAAGCTCGATAATCCAACAAACCCTCAGAGCTACCGGCAAAATTTGTTCGTTAAGTGACGCATTTTTTCCGCGGGTCGCGAAATCTTAATTCATAACGCACCCATTTTCAGTCTAAGGTATTTAATGACCTTGAAGGTTCGCTCACTTAATCAAATTAAACGCACAATGAATTTACAGAAAATGCAAGAGACATAGATAACATTGACTACGAAGTGATAACATTGAAGTGCTCGCAGTTTCTTAGAAATCTACTTCCTTCGCCGCACACTGAGTGGCGCACGTAGGTCACCTTCTGCAGAAGAATGTTTGAAATTGCCACGGGAGTATTGAATTCATGCACCTTGGAAGTCAATTCTCCAACACAAACGGCGAAGGACAACAGATCATTCGCCACCACAACCGGTGAATTATCGGATAGTTTGGAGCATCAGGTGCATGTCGTGAGTAAGATGGCAAGTATAAATGTAGTTGTAACAGATAACCCCAGCAAGAACCAAGTAGAAGCTTTCAAATGTCGGCTAAAATTGCTCAGAACTGGTGTCTCGGCATACACAAAACAGCGAAAACTTTGTTTCACGTGACGACTACCATGCGGCTTGAAATGGTGACCCAACGCTCCTCAAAACTCTGAATGATGCACACAGTCATTCACCATACCACGTTTAGAACGCAGCTGTCAACCTCAATGATTACTCTTTTACCACGGTCATAGAGTGCAAGAATCTCGCATTCCTAAGTGAGCCACTCGACGTGCTGTATAACATGCTTAGGACTGCCAAAGTGGTTTCACTCCTGTAGACTGCTTCGGACGATTTGTTTCGTCGCATTTCCAAATCGGACTATCCACTACTGAGCGTGCACAGCCTGTTTGCAGGTAAGATAGAGCCTGTGGTCAGAAAGATTGAAGACGAATCGGGGATTCGTGCAGCGCAACGCTTGTGGGTCGTGGCGGACCATGTGTGCTGGTGACATGACGAAACCCACTGAGTGGCATCGCTTAGACAAGCTACACGATGGAATATGCGTCGGTGGCCGGAAGAAAGTACCTGATACCAAAGTAAACGTTTTTGTATGAAAAAATACGCGCTCTCTGTTAGCTTTGAGAATATGGAAGTGGCAAAGTAGGATGTCTTAGGCGAAAGCAAAGCCGGTCACTCACGTTTGGGGCGCCAATTCATCCACTACAAACTTTTTCACTTGTAAGCGTTTACCCACCGTTTACTACCTCCAGAAGCAGGTTGGCCTCTGCTCACTTAGGTCGACCACTACTGCATATCTAAGCCTTCATCGAGAAAACAAATCCCCCGAAATCAGCTGGGTCTTCCTCTCGAAACGAGGATGACCGGCGTGGCCTGTGTGAAAGCCTCTTCACCCCACTTTCCTCGCCATCACAACCAGCAAGCCCTGCCTGGAAAGAACCCTAACACAAACTCCCGAATATCAAACCACCTCGCACACCTTTGAATCCAAGCACCACTTCCGCAAACGGCTGGGTCCTTTGTCTCGCTGTCGACACCTCACAAACCCTGAGCATATGCCGGTCTTAACCGGTGAAACTCAATGTGATTATTTTTACTAAGTGCCCTTGTCAAGGCTATTTGACTCTGCAAAGAGTGGTCTCCATTCAAAATGTATTGTCCAAAACTACCCTCTTCTGAGTTCCATTTTCCCGACATTCAAGAGGGCTGCCGTCATCCGAAATGTCCGAGAAAACCCCTCGATTAGAAAGGAACATTCCATAAGCAGATCCCAATTTAACTTGTCCCTTGCCAGCACGCATACCTAGCCGGTCACTGTTAACTTCTCTCCAAATCCTGTCTCACCCGCTTAACATTCTTCTGTCGGACATTGCCCCAGCTGTTTGGAACAGCCGCTGCCACCAAGGGATTTCCTCTGATATCTCCCCAGCTTCCGGCCTACTAAAGAGAACACAAAATGTGTAGGTGTGTTTTAGGTTGCCTCCTGGTCCAAACATTAATTAGAATTTTAGGATCATATTCGGCGGTGCACCTTTTGAATTTCGTAAACTCAGCACGGATGGGCGATAGTGACACCCCCTATCAAAGACGGCTTCTGCGTTTACACCCTGGTGTGTATGTCACGGATTCACGGATTGATACACAGGATCGAGGCTTTTGCCCAAGTTTCCCGGGTCGGTTTTGTTCTTGTCGGTCAGTGGCTGTCGTTCACCTCAAAGGCACAAGTGAAAAAAGGGTGTAGCACTGCTCTTTATGTTCTCAGAGCGGGGCAGTATGCTGGCCAGCGCGAGGATTCGTATAAATAAATGTCTAATA